CCCCAAAACCCCAAAACCCCAAAACCCCATAAGTCTAAATTTTGTTTGAAATGATTAAACTAAAAATATAAATTGTACTTATATTTACAGATAATATTTTATAATTTTAAATATAATTGGGTTGTGTTTTCATAATCTATATCTAGTATTAATGTTTGACCGGTATTCTCATAATTCTTTAGAAAATACCATTCTGTTTGATTACTGATTGAAATGATATATAGTTGGATCTGCAAGAAATATACAAGGCTAACCTAGATTGATACTGAGTTTCTTTTTATTATTTTAAATTTGAGGGGATCTGATCATATGCTAGCCGATTATTCCTTGGAGTATAGACTGCCTTGGCAAAGTCTTACTCATCTCTTTCCTATCTACTGCACTGTTTACTCCTTCCCTCTAAGACCCAAAACTCTTAGATGCTATATTATAGTCCAAATAGTTTTCTGTTGATGACTGTGTTGGTATTATTGGAGCGAGAATCTCATTAGTATTGATTCTCATATTATTGTATTACTCATGCAGATGCCTCTAATGCTAAAGTGACTGTCTTTACATTTACAGCTGCTAAAATGGTAGTAACTGAGTTTGCTTGGGTTATGGCATGAGGAATTCATTAGACTCATCTTTATAATTTATAACGTTATTACTTGGTCTGCCTCTTACTGGGTATGCTTTTCCAAACTCTAATTGATTAGTATGAAATATTATCTAATTCCTGTCATAGTTGTTTTACTCTTCATCTGAGAGATTCAAAAACTTCTCTATTCTAATTTTCTTTTATTTTAATCTTTTATTGTTTGATTTAGGAGTTATTATTTCAGGTAACTGCTACTGTTACATTTATTATGATTATTCCTATTTAGTGTCTTTGAAATCCTGCTAAGCTTCTTCTTTTATAAATGAAGAGTGACCCCTTGTATTTTACTTAGCCTAGGGCCGTTAGTTCTTCAACTAAGTTACTTTGAAAGGATCAATAGATATCTTGTTAGACTGTTAGAGATTTTATTGTATATCATGCTACCTTTGAATAAGGGAATGCTTTAAGTGATCTATTAATTCTTAGTACTTATTCAATCTTATGTAATTTTATAACGGAGGAATTCCTTGCTGATTCGGAGTATGACTGTACTTAACCTTTTATCTCTCTGTGTTCCTTGCAGGTGAGTTCACCATAGATTAAGATTTCTATTGTCTTGAATGTTAATTTCCAAATTTATCATGCTTTAAATCAAGGAACATTGAATCTTTTGGTATCTTTACTGGAATAAGTCCCTTTAGTTAATCGTGATATAACTATTAAGATTTTTCTATTAGTTTTTCATATCTCTCCTACCATATTTAGGTCTAGTCATTTATATGTTTTAAAGGAAAAAGCTACTCATACATAATACTGAGATTATTCTATTCAAATTTATCCTTTAACCTTAATTTTTTAGCCCTTATGTAATCTTTTTCATCTTATGATTTTTTAACCCTACCATTCATTACCCTTTTCTTTTAATCTGTTTGCATTTAATACAAATACTTATACTTTCGTTTCAAAGATAAGTTTAGCATCTTAATTGTATCTTTAAGCAGGTTTTTCTTAATATTATAATCAAGCGGGGTATCTGTTGTGAAGCTAGGAGCTTAATTAACTTCTATTAGCCAAGGCTTCAAATCTTCATCAATAAAGATGTCAATGCCTAAGATTTAAAAGCATTAACTATTTTCACTGTCATCTGGTTTAGAAGTTTTAAATACGTGCTATAATTTAGGCAGACCTGATATTATTGTTTTTAAAATAATATCTTTTATTCCAGACCATAAACCCTCTCTGACATTTGTTTTGTTTCTGGCTTTATTTTGAATCTGATCAAGCACAGCTCTTATGCTTCTTTTATGGCCGATATTATCCTTTTTAGGATCTCTATTGAAAATAAACTCCTCTGAATCCTTATTGATGGCATAATTTGTAAGATGCATATAGAGATTATTAAGATTATTTAGATTAGGTTCTTCATACTATTGAGTTGCGAATCTTGCAAGCCCATCTTTATATATAAATGCTCTAAGTGGATTGACACCAGTAATTAATACATAAACTCGAAGATCAAATTTAAGTCCATCAAGTAAAAAAGGCCTATTCAAATAAGCTTGTGCAACATAGTGCTCTTAATTTTATGATTAATTTGAGAGCCACTGCAGAGTCCTTGTTAGAAAAATTCCCTTTCCTTAACTACTGGCTTCTGGTTTTACAATATATGTAAAGTTTTTACTTTCATTTATGGTGTGCCTTAGATCTTTGGCATCATGTGGCAAAAGCCATGTTTAAGGAAAGAAGTTATATTCATTAGGGAACATTTGCTACATCCTTAATAGATTTTGAGCAAGTAAATTCTTTCATGCTAAGGTTTACATTCCAGGAAAGTGATTCACCCGTTAGTAACTTTTCATTTTCATTACAAAATTAGGCATTATTTGCTAATCAATCCAGTAGATGTCCCAGTCTTCTGTATCATCTTCGGATATTTCCAAGTTCAAATCATTAGCGATATCCGTGATAACCTCATACTAAGTGTACTAAATATTTATGATCAAGAAGTTTTCCTAATTATTATTTGAATCCTCTTATCATTTAATTATTTCTTGAGCCTGCTCTAGGACTTCACATTTTACAGCATTGCCTGCATCTTAATTCCCAATGGGTAAGCTTTCAGAGGTGCATTTAATTTCCTAAGAAGTTTATTTAGAGGGAATGGGGTCCAGTTGATTAGAGTTTTTACGAACATAGTTTTAAACATTTTCGTTTAAGTTTATTCGTGATATTTTAGCATCCTTTTAATCATTTAGTATCATTTTATTCCTTAAGTTTATTTAAACTTTTTTTTAATTTTCTTTTAATTATTGTATTTTTCTAGGGATTTTACTTTCAAGGGGTTTTGGGGTTTTGGGGTTTTGGGG